AAACAATTACTAAACTAGTAATTTTAAGTTAGGGTACGGTAGTACATATGTATATAGAGTCGCGTCTACGTATACACCACTCCTTATATATATATATATATATATATATATATATAAATAAATAAAAGGTGTGGTTTCTTATAAGGTTGCAACCTTAAATAATCGAATTAAAGTGCAACTCCAAATTTTCTCATATATGTAATTTTGGTGTAAAAACTTAAGATTATCGAAAAATCTATGTTCATATCCAATTATAAAATTTTAAACTCCAAAAATGGTTAAAATCAATTAGATCTATGAAAATATTGAAAATGGACGTTCTAGATCGTATGTTGCAAGATGCACTATTCTTTGGATTCAAAATAATTTTTTTTTCATATTCATATATCTTGATATTGAGATGTTGCAAGATGTACTACTTTTAAGATTCAAAATATTTTTTTTTTTTATATTCATATACCTCGATGTTGAGATGATCAATTAACGTTTTTCAATATTAAAATAAATCAACATTTTAGGGTTGGAATAAGCTTTTTCCATATATAAAAGAAGTGGAAGATATTTATGGGGATCCGCTCGTCCATATTTGACTATCAATGAACTCCTCCTTTTTGTCTTCACGTGAAGCCTGGGTGAGTCGAACCTGGATCCGGAGACATTTTGTCTTGCCATCGATATTTCTTACCTGCAAATAACGGGAGGCGTCCGTTTGGGTCGGGGTCCAAGTCCGGGTCCGTTTAGATGCACTATTTGTTTCATTTTAATGAGAATAATTGTTTGCTACAATATGCAATTAAGAAATATAAAGCATTCATCTCCGGGTTAAAAATTATATAATTTGGATATTTTAGATGCACTATTTGTTTTATTATAATAAAAATAATTGTTTCATACAGGTGAGGCTGCATTTCTACACTATGCAATTAAGAGATATAAAGCATTTATCTCCATGTTAAAAATTATATATTTTTTAAAAATTAAGATTAAATTATATTTAAAAAATATATTTATTACGAAACCCGCATTTCTACATGTATTAGCTTGGTCGCATGCTAACCACGTCAATAAATAAAAGGTGTGGTTTCTATAAAATTGGAACCTTAAGCAATCCAATTAAAGTGCACCCCTAAATTTTATCATAATTTTGATATAAAAAATTGTTAGGATTATCTAAAACATCTATTTCCCATAAATAAATAGCCTCTTTGTGCAATTCCATAAAAGTAAAAGCCCATGGTGCTGCTTGAAAAGCCCGCAAAGTTCTAAAGCCTGTGGCCACTGGGGTTTTGTCAAAGTCTTGGGGTGTTTTGTGCCATTTACGTAAAAGTTGGGTCCATTTCAATTTCCCTCTGACCTCCCAGTATGTAATATGTACTGACAAAATATCAAGAGCAAAGAAATTATTTGTACGATAGGAAGTGTCAGTCAGTTCTCTGTTACTCGTCAAGGTGTGTTGAGCGTCTTCGTCTGGTCCATCGATGGGTCAGGTATTGGCCACTGTTCAGGACAAATTCCAAGGTAAATCTTACTGTACTTTCTTTTCTCTTCTTAGGTTGTTTTGTTTCTTTTGCGATAATCGGTTTTCTCTTCTGATAATCAAATTCAATTAGATTTTTTTTTTTTTTGACACCGGAGGTAGTTTGTATGTAAATTTCATGCTGCAATACCCTGTTGTCTGTTTATTTTTCTTATTCTTTTCTGTGATATGATATTTTGATTGTTTTCTAGTATTGTGGCTTAATATCTCTTTTGCTTTTAGTATTTTACTGATATTTAGTGTTTTCCCTTACTTTGTTGTGGTTTTTAGTGATTATTGATCTTAATTTATACGCAATTTCATCTTCGTTTTCTTTCAGAATTTTGGCCTTCATTGGTTTCTCTTGCTATTGATCATGACTGAGTCCTCTTGGTTCATCTCAAGTTTTCTATGAAATTTTCTGCTTTCAGCTAATCGTCAGCATGTTTTAGTTCATGTGCTGTAATTTATATACTAATTGTAAGGTTTAAGCAGATTCAGGGAAATTTTGGTGGAGTTTCATAGTTAATTATTCGTGATTTTTATCTTGATTTTTTCCTTTGTTAAGTATTATTACTGTGGTTTGTGCCTATTACAAAAATATTTAAAACACGCATGCAACTTTGTCTTAATTGAGGGACCTTTGGGGCATATTTTATTGATGACTTTTTCTTTGATACCTTGACAGTGTGAATCTCATTGTTGACCTTTTTAAGGTGATTGATGTACACAATATATGCCTGTAAACTTTTTGTCGATTTAGGTTTGTTTTTTTTTTTGACATTTAGTGGGGAATTATTCTGCATCACTATCTTGTGAATCTCTAGTTTCTTTTTTTGCCTTGTCTTTTTTCTTTTTCTTTTTCTTTTTCTTTGGTGGAGTGGTGGGGGGAAATGATGTTATTCTATAGGATATGCATATTGTTAAAGGCTTTCTTCCATTTAATGCCTATCACTTCTAATAATTGCGCTAGTTTTTTCTTCTTCTTTTCTATGACAAGGTTACATAGGAATGGAACTTGGGACAGTGTGTGAAAACCCAACTGCTACCATCTAGATCCAAGCCCGATTCCTAACATTTGTGCTAGTTTAGCGTTAGTTTGTTGATATGTTGCCTTATGTTGGATTCGTCAGAGATTTTATGGATTTGGCTTTTTGTAATGACATTCAATGAATTAGTGGGTCTTCTAAATTCTTGCAGCTTCTGATTTTCACCAAGATATGGCTTTCCTATCTTATATGGCACACTCATGAGATTTTTGGCCCCCATTAAAGTTACCCTCTCAGTCTGGAACTACGCTTTGGGGATCTCAAGTAGAAGCATGTGTGACAAATGTGGCACATGCGAAACACAAAAACTAAAAATATTTCCCCAATCTAGAAGTTCATCACTTTCGGGTAATCAAGCTTTACAAGTGTCTCATGTGTCAAGCATAAAAGCCGAAATTAGGACCTCAAATTTGATTTTATTATATTCTAGAACTTCAAGAAGAGCTGAAATAATGATTAATGTCCATGATATAATTTGATAAAGCCCCATTAATTGTGTAATGGAATTTCCACATATGTAGTCAAGAAGCCTTTAGGTTTTGGTGCAAGGTTTTGGATGTTGGGTGAAATAAGGGCTAAAATGACAGTTAAATATATTTGATAGATGTTGTGTCACAAAATATGGTTTGGATTAGAGGATCAATATGAAAAGATCGCTGAAAAGCATCACATATGTGGTCACATCAGCAAGGGTAAATTGAGAATGCTAGAGAAGATAAAATCATAAAACATAGAATAAGAGAAGTTCACTTAGGGATGCCTTGGAGCTCTGATTCGATTCCACTTGTGTGAAGATTTGAGGGATGCTCTGTTCTCGATTTCTTTGATTCCACGACAAGTTTGGAAATGAAAGTATATTTGATTAAGAATAGATGCGGCATTATATTAGTGTTAAAAAAATGATGTAGATTAGGTTTATTAAATCCCTTACATAGGCTAATGAGTGCAAAAGGATTAAAAGATCCTTACAGACAGATAAGAAACAGTAGGACCGTAAGCCTTCACAAGGTGATACACCATGTTCAATATGTACATAGTCCACTACATGGTGGCTGTTGGTTTTCTAGTTTTTTGTTTTAAGGAGATTTGTTTGTTGGCATAGTGCTTCTTTTCAATCAGGCTCGTCGTACACTGTTCTTAACCAACTTATCTTAGGGCTTGAGTTGCATGGCATTTTGGAGTATTAAGATGTATCTGGGAAATGGTTTTTTGGTGATTTGCTTAGAGGTTTCTTGAGCTGCTCAGATTAACTTCAATGTTACTTTTTCAGTTGTTTATCATAAAAATGTTTTGGGTAACAGAAAGCAGGATTTGAGATATAGAAATTGTATGCTTACTAAGTAATATCTATGGTGCATTTGTTTAAAATAAACGAGCTAAGATTAATCACATCATCCTCACAAAAATATTTTCTCATTTCAGTGGTCATGGCACTCAAGGTATTGAAATGAGAATTGGGCAATCTAGCAGTCTGATTTGGAAAACTTCTTACGCCATTATGACCCCTGAGCCTCTTAACCTATATATAGATTGGTTGGGCATCTATGGTGTTTAATTGTTGTTTCTTGGTGTTTGGGTTTGCTTAGGATTTTTGACACTCGCAGGAGAAGGAATTGTCTATGTCGATAGATGACACCTTCACCTTTTTAGATGCTTTTGCATTCCATGCAGATAAGGTTTTGTACGGATTGTTTGCGAGTATAATGCCATAAGTTCAATCTATGAAAATTAAGAGGCTTGCTGTCGATGTAGTAAATACTTGCTGAAGCAGGGACTCTGGGCATTTCAGGTTGTTGAGAGGTGTTTCCATGGTCATGGTATCTGAGGTTAGCTTTGTATTAGATGACTTTTGCCAAAGCTCCTGGATTTAAGGACAGTTTTATGGCCAATGTTATGGGGGCCAACTACCATGCATAAGCGCAATTGTCCTTGTTTATTGTTAAAACAAACACTATTCTCCTTCTGAGTAGAAAGACAAGGAGGATTAATATTATTATTTTTTCCTGATGAAAGGATTTGTATCATTGAGGGAGGAGGAATTGGACTTAATTCTTGATTATGATGAACAAGATTTTCTCCTCTAAAATACTACTAAAAATTTGGTTAACTTAATTATTCTTCTTCCTTTATATAGTTCTTCTTAGGATTAGTTTATTTTTGGAGATTTTATAGTGTTGGATCAATTGCTACACGTTGTGCTTGTGCTAATACCTTGTTGTGCCACTTACCTTTTGTTTTGTTTTCTTTGTGTTTTAAGTTCTGCTTTTCTCTTGAGCAGGTAAGCAGTGGCGGCAACGTCAACTGAGAAAAATAACAGATAAGGTTTTTGATCATTTTAAGGCAGATACTGGGAAGGAGCATTTAGTTTTTGAGGATCTTTACATTGCAATCTTATTAGTATATAAGTGAGAGATCCATACCTTTTCTTACTGGTCTTCTGTTATTCGCTTTTGCTTTTGAAAAAGGTTCTCTTCTTTTTTGGTTACATATGGGTACTAGAATATGTTCCAAAGTTCAAGCAGATGACTGCTTTTGTTTCAGTGATATCAATAAGCACATACCTGGGCCTCATAATGATCCTCCCTCTAAAGCAGAGGCAAAAGTTATGATGGAGGTATGCACTCCTCATTTTTTATTCACATGAGTTGGCCGTTTGCTGAACTCAAGATATATAAATTTTAGAATGATATGTGTTCCTTCACTGTTTGTTGACTACATGTGGATCTCAAATATCCATTCTCAAGTAGAGAGAGTGGAGATGAACCATTTTCTACCATTGTTGGCTCAAGTGCTGGATTGGTTCATCTCTATTGTTTGTCATTGACTCAGATGGTGGAGACTACATGTGGTGTAATATCCAGTCACTTCAATTAAAAAAGATATTAATATAGGAAAACAGAATGTAGACTATACACAGCCTATGCGTCGTACATAGCTGGAGCATCCAAAATCCATTCCAAACTATATGGTGGAAGTCCCCCATACCTGGGTATATCTATCCTTAGGAACTACAATTAAACTTGTGTGAGTCATTGCGAACGGGCAGTGGATTCCTGGGCTATTTGCAATAACCATTCACAGGCTGTGTATGTTGTATCTCCCAATGATTGAAAGCACGCCAAACTGTACTTATGTGTGGAATGCTTTCTCCAGAGGGCAGGTATCCACCATGCAGAGCCTGTGTCCGATATATATTACCCAGCTGGGGGATCCACTGGCTGTTGTTACCAATAGAAAACGGAGTTTAACCGTAGTTCCTAATGACAAAACCATGCGCAAAATTGAACTGTGGATTCCCTAGCCGTAAAGTGTATTAACTTCCCCTGAACTACTATCTCAACCGAGAATATTTACACAATTTGATTAACATTGCATTTGTATCACTCGATTGCAGACCTTCGACTTTAATCAAGATGGGGTGCTCGATCGTGAAGAATTCTATGACTTCATACAAAAATTAACCTCGGATACGCTAACCCTGGTTAGTCGTAACCTAATCATTGCCCTTGTGGTGGCCCCTGCCATGGCTCTTATGACCAAGAGAGCAACAGAGGGGGTGCCAGGGGTGGGTAAGGTGGTGCAGAAGATGCCCAACGCCATTTATGCATCTCTTATAACCCTTGGGGTTGTTTTGGTTCAAAATATGAGTGACGCTAGTGATTAATCAACCTGGTTCGTTGGGTGGAGATTCCCTTGTTGTCCTATATGTTGTTTCGTTTAAAGAAAAGACCGGTTTTCTTTAGAAGTTTGTGTAGAAAGAGAACATTGATTATATTCTTGTGTTATATATGCTTTTGGTGTCTGGCTCCAAAGTCAATAAAGTAGTACTTGTTTTAATCCTTGGGTTTGTTTTTCCCTTCCGGGTTGTATCATGGTTCTGAATTGGAGTGGGGCCTAAACTTTTTATTGGAACATGTATAGATGGACCTCAGAGAGAGAGCGAAAGAAGAGAGAGAGAGGAGTCTCTTTATTTACTCTAAATATTTACATCATTATGTATGCCTTGAAAAGTGAGATACCAGGTCCTTTATTTTTAGGAAAAGTATACAATGAGGCTACTTATCGATAGTACAAGGTGGATACAATTAATTTTGACCATTGGATGTGAAATTGGATAGTTGCATTTATTCTATTGATCAAGCTCAAAGTTCAATTTTTTTTTTTTTCGAACTTTATGACATATTCAAGCTATCGGATTTTACATTGGATGGTTCTAAGTAATTGTGACCTCTTTAATAAATGGTTTCATTATATACAATCTCTTATTTTTAAGGGTGTGGTTTGTATAAGGTTAAGTGTATTTTTAAATAGTGTGCAAGATGATTTTTCAGTAGGGAAAATCTTTATGATGGCATAAAAATTTATTTTCATCTTTAATTATAAAATTTAAAGTTTAAAAAAGTAGTGTAGATTGAGTAGATCTATAAACATTTAAAAATGGTGAATAATCGTCAGACCAAATAATTCATTACAAGATGAACTTTTTTTAAACTTGAAATCCAATTTTTTTCCATACATCTTGAGGTTGAGATGATTCATTTGAGGGTTTTTCAACATCAAAACTTCTTCTAGTAGATTTTTTGAGGTGTATTTTAATTTGATTGTTTAAGGCTTCAACCTTATATTAAGTTTTTCCCTTTTTTTAATATCCTAATGTTCTTATGAGAAGGCCATAGTCATCCGTAGCCCTTAGACTTTGAGTGTGGCAAATGGCACACCACCAGCTGCCGTATCTAATTGATGGGGTTAATTGTGATCTTATATGAAAGGTAAAGCCCCAATTGTGTAATTCATGTCCAATTGCTAAGGGTGATAGTGAATAGTGACCCTTGTATCCTTGAAGGGTCTTCGGGACTAATGGTTTGTTGTTGAGCCACTTACAGTACGCCGATGACATGGTGATGCTTATTGAAGGCTCTGAGGACAACATCCATAATATTTGGCTTTTCCTGGAGCTGTATGAGCATGTGTCAGGAGTTCGTATCAACATGAACAAGTATAAAATTATCGAGATTAATTGTAATGCTTATGATATGTTGGACTTGGCTCTCTGGCTGAACTGTGAGGTCGCATTTTTTCCCACTAAATGTCTGGGTTTGCCATTTATTGATGGAAGAGCTACTCGTTCTCTTTGGGATCCTCTCATTCAGAGGATTAAGGTTAAACTAGATGGCTAGAAAGCGAGGTTTCTGTCCTTTGCTGGTCGGAAGACTCTTATTAAATCCACTCTAACTTGCCTTTCTATTATCTTTCTCGTTTTCGAGCTCTTGGTCCCATCATTATGAAGCTTGAGACGTTAATGCGTAACTTCCTATGGAGAGGATCTCGGTAGAAAAAGAAGTTCCACCTTGTGAATTGGGCCTTGGTTTACCTTCCTAAGAAAGATGGAGGCCTATGGATCCGTAGTTTGACGGTGGTCAATGAGGCATTACTGACTAAACGGTGATGGAGACTTTCCTCGCAAAGGAACAAGCTTTTGGGCTAATATGGTGTTGACCTTGATGGTTATTCGAGGCCAATGATCCTCACTGCAGTGTGGCAAGACATTGACGCGGTTAGACCGCTGTTTTGGCTTATAACCGAGTGAGTGCTTCTTGGTGATGGAAAGACTAACCTGTTTCTGACATGGGAAATGGACAGGGCACTGTACCCTGAGGTTTTTAGGAGGTCAAGGCATAAACAGGCAAGGTTGGGTAATATGATTTCGTTGAGTGGAGGTCGACCGTAGTTGAATATCGTTTTGAATATCAGAAGGGACCAGCGTGTGGTAGATCAATATGTTTCGATGCTTTATAGCTTCTGCTTCCATCCCCAGAAGCCAAATAGAATTATGTGGTCTTTGGAGCCCGATGAATGTTCTCGGTTCGATCCTTAAATGAGATCCTTTTTAGAGAGATATATTGGGGACCGCCCACTTTTGGCCAAGTTCTGGCGATGCAAGGGCTCTCCTCGAGTCAAATCCTTCCTTTTGCTCCCGGCTTTCAAACGCCTTCTCATTATTGATCAACTGCACTCCAAGGGGATGATAATAACAAAAATATCATGGGCCATCATCATTATGGATGGTACTTGAACCATTATCTCTATTTTTTAAACCATTTTTTCATCAATAGAAATTAAATAAATTAAATCTAATCAAAATATTGTGTAAACCATAAAATAACACAAGTCTACTCAATCTTTCAACAAAATCTTTCAAACATATATCAAGTCAATATGTTGTAAATATCTTCCAACCATATGCCCACATACCATATCACCAAAAAATAGGAAAAGGAATAAGGGTGGGTGTGCCACCCAAGGGAGGCACTCATGGGCCCCACCTTCTAAAAATATAGTGGGCTCATATGCACAATGGGCCCCCATGATATTTTTATATATTTAAAATTAATAAAAAGATTTAGAATATTATTTGAATATTTAAACCATTGTAAAATCAATAGCTTTTATAAATCTAAAAATTATAAATAAAATATCCAGAGGTTCATAAAAATTCAAATAATAATCCTAAAATAATTTTCATCATAAAACAAACACAATTAAATTAATTTGATGGGAAAAAGATCCATATGGTTTAGGAATCAACATTCATGGGGCACTTCACTGTCAACTGTAGACTACAGACCACAGTTGCTTTATCAAACCGACCCATTATTTTTCATGACCCACAATCCAACCAGGGGCTCATTAGCGGGTCACCAAAGTCCAGCCGATGAGCCAACTGGTCACAATCCCAGTCTGTGGATTTTAGGTCAACCCCTAGAGACGTGTCAATGTCACCTAGACCTGATGCGACCACAGGTCCTATGGTGCATAGGGGTATCTCTCGTACATGCATACACTTCACCCTAAAAGGTGGATTTCTGGCTTTCCCAAACGATCTATCGATATGCATGTCGTGTGATGCCGTATGGATGAGGCTTTGACCCCCGTCTCTGTAGGCCACCATCACACACAAGGGTCACCCAATCCCTCGGCTCACTCATCCAGGCATATTCTCCGACCTCATCAAAGGCTAACTCATTAGAACCCTTATCGGTTTATTCTTTATGCCCAGGTAACGTGGGTTTTTTACAATCGACTGGCCTAGATTGTCAAGCACAGTCTGATATCTACAAACATCGTTTGCTTAGTATGGTCCACAAGAGACCACACTCCCATTGAGTTCATGTTCTACTATATCATTTCATTTCATAAACACTCATAAAGTCTTTAAAGGCTACATAAACCCAACACCTACTACCTTGGAAACTCAACGCCATTATAGACAAAATCTTACTTTGCTTGGGTTCCAGTGGAGTTTCTTTTGTTCATGTTCGTCACGGTTTCAACCCAGATGCATATCTTTTGACAAAGCTTGCGACGTCTTCTTAAGGAGCTCTCCTTATGCTTGGTTGATTTTCTTTTGCTTTTGGTTTCTTTCTGTTTGTATCTCCTTTCATTATCTTAATGAAATTCGCATACTATCTTTTAAAAAAATGCTTATATTATTATTATAAAAAATTTAGTCAAAACTAGTAGTACATTGTGTGTTACACGTTTCAATTTATGTGCTTTTTATAGATAAAAATGATATATTGTTAAAAAAATCATTGTTAGAGATTCAGAGTCATATTCTTGTTCTTGTGGCATATCAAAACTACAAAAGAGCACCATAAATATTTTTTAAAAGCGTTTTTCAAATATGTTTTATAAATGCAAATTTGAGGTTCATAATACACCGCGTAAAAGATTTAAAGAAAAAGGAGAAAAATCACCACAAAACTTTTTCGATAACTTTCCCTTCGTTTTCTATATCTCTTTATTTCTGCTGCTTCCTCGGCTGCTGCTTGCTATCCTTGATCATATGATCAGCAACCAACAGTTTATTTTGAACGCCAGATTTTTCCTAAATTTTTTACAAATATTCTTGTCTTATTCCCGTAAATATAGTTACTTTCACTTTTTTGGATTCAAAAATATAAATGTCATTTTTTTTTTTTTTTAAGAAAGTATGAGCAAATGAAAAATAAAAAGAAACGCAAAAAGGAGCAATACAGAGAAAACAGGGGAAGAGAAGGGGAACGAAAAGAGAGACGTTACAGTCAGTCAAGACGTTGCCTTGTTAGTCAATCCGCCTCAAAGTTGAAACCACGAACGACATGATGGAAGATGACATCGACATCCCTCAGCAAAACCAAGATTTCATCCATTAGACCGCACAACCTCCATGGAGCGGAGTCAGGATTCAAGCACCATCTAATCACATTTGCGCAGTCGCCTTTAATAATAATTCTAGGGAAGGGTTGGTCCAATCTAGAGACCCATTTTCAAGGCCCGGTTTCATTAATTTCACAGGGATGAAGCCTCCCAAAATAAATCCAAATCGTCGATCCAAACTTATCTTTGAGAAGGCCTCCATATCCTGATGGATAGGTTTGAACAGCAACAAGTATGAATAATGTGTGAAGAAAAGGTCCTTGGGCAAGAGCCGAGTAAGCCCATTCTACAACGGACCGTTGGAATGCTGAGAGGAAGGA